GTGTGTGTGTGTGTGTGTGTGTGTGTGTGTGTGTGTGTGTGTGTGTGTGTGTGTGTGTGTGTGTTTATGAGTGCTGTATGATGTCCAAGTGTTGCTCCTCTCTCTTCATGCTTCAACCTGGAAACAAGTCACAACATGTCACTCGATCACCCTCCTCCTTCCTTCACCCCCTCCCCCGCTGTCAGCAGAACACAGAATCTGATCCTTCAGTTTTTGGGTCCGACCCGTGCGACACATTTCACGACSGCCGCCGTCTGGAATCAGAACCACGCCGATCCAAACAGCGAGGGGGGAAAAACAAGTCTGTAACGAGCGTCAGTTTGCCTCTCTCTGTGACACATGCACAGTGCTGAATGACTGCTGAAGACTTGCTGAAGAAGCTAAAATTGCTTTTAAAGCTAAAGGTAGCAGAACACTAGCTATATGAGAAAAGAAACAAATCATTAGCTAAAGGTCAAAAGAAGCAACCTGCTATCTAAAGGCTAAAAGTAGTAAAACACTGGCTAAAAGCAGCTAAAGAGTAAAAGTAGCACAAGGCATCCTTAATGTAGCAAAAGGAAAATGTTCGGTAGAAGCTGCAAACTGCAAAAGCTAAACTTGAAAAAAGTTTAACTAAGGTCTAACCCATTTAACAAAATTTGTTTGGCTCAGTTCTGGCCCACACAGTGCACTAACACTCAGCCCAGATATGACAAAGAAAGATGGCCCTTTAGTGGCCCAGATGTGGCTTGCCAGAGGTGGTCCACTCATGGGCTTGCAAGCACCACATAAACCAAACCGCTGGGCCAGTTATAGCACTGACAGATTTGGGCTGCATAAACCAAACCACAATCGAGCCGTTTGTGGCATGCCATTTTTAAACAAAAGGGTCATCATTGTCAGACCGTAGTAGTCAAATGTGGGCTACTTTTAGCTAAAAGCAACAGAATTCTAGCTGAAAGCTAAAGCTATGAGTACAATATTTAAAACTAAACCACAAGGCAAAATTATTCTGGCCCTGTTCTGGCCCACACAATGTACCAACACGTGGCCCAGATACTGTAAAAGAAGATGGTCCTATGGTGGCCCAAACATAGCTTGTCATAGGTGGTCTATAGGCCAGCACTACATAAATTAAACCACAACATGGGCCAGTGTTGGCATTGACATATTTGAGTCAAATAAACCAAACCACAACCGGGCCAGTTATTGCACTGACAGATTTGGGCATGCGTAAACCAAACCACAACCGGGCCAGTGTTGGCACTGACAGACTTGAGTCATTTACACCAAGCCACAACTGGGCCACTGTTGGCAATGACAGATTTGAGTCAAATAAACCAAACCACAACTGGGCCAGTTATAGTACTGAAA